GGAGAGCAGAACACTCACTTGTCATATATGAGGCCTTAAGAAATATAAGTTCTTCCCTTCAACCTTCAACTGAGCATTTTGTGGGTATATAATTATCTGAAGTTTATACCCATGTGCAAATAACCCTAGACTGTTTGAATTTTCCACCTGAGTCCCGTGTACTGCATGTCTCTATGACTTTGTACTTGCTGCTCATAATCCCTGGGCTCCACCACGCATTCTAGTAGTCAATTAGAAGAACTCTTTCCAAGGGACATATGCACCCCAAAGCCAGCTGCTCCTGTTCTCTTCCTCTCTCCAAAAACAACTGAATGAAGATTAACTGCTCTTTTCTATGTAAAATAATGAAACTGGGTATGCAGAGTGATGATGGTGATGATGATAGACAGATAGATGAGATAGACCAGATACATAGACAGACAGACAGATAGATATGAATGGTTACAACTCTTCCTCACATTTATATATACAATGCTTTGTATACATGTCACTGCCTCAGTACTCCTCAACATGCTATTTACATTTTGGTGTGATGCTTGCATCAACTTTATTTTGATATTTCTAGGAATCTATTCATATCTTAGCCAAATTTTTTCATCTATTAGAGACCAGCAAGGATGCCTTACTCACTTTGGAATGACCTAAATGTTTTATCTTCTCTACAAGCAGTAGGTACTTATGAGACACTTTTAACCCTGTGGTTAAAACATTTCAGTGTCATGAGCACCTATTGCAACTCAGTAGGTTTTGGGGCAAATGTTTGTAGAGTTGTGCCAAGATGAAACTGCATCTTTATGACACACTAGGCACACACACAGTATGTAGCAGCACCATGTGTGGAGAAGTGGCTAAATACTAAAAATGCAACAAGGATGAACTGTCTGTTCATCAGAGCTCATAGTCTAAGTGGCAAAGAGAGTGATCTATAAAGAATTAGAGCTACAGATACCAATATAATGGATGTCAGTGAAAATGAAAGGTTATTCATATAATATAAGTGCTACAAAATTATTTCTTGAAGCAGAAATTTTTATGTATTTATCTATAGGAAGTCACATTATAGGAATGTAAATGCATTATGTATGTATGTGCGTTACAATGTGACTCACAGTTGGACTTGAGTTTCTCTGATTAAAAAAAAAACCTTTCTGTATGTGTTTTAACAATAAGTTTACATTTTCTAATTTGAAGAATACAATACACAGATATTAGCAATAGTCAACACGCTGATGGAGAAACTATTCTGTTGACTGAATTGATATCTACATCTAGAAGCCAAAGGAGGCCAGATACTGACTGTCTCCAGATTCTAATAGCAAGGGAATCTGCATGTGGCCTACACATGATTAAGTGGGAGCTCCTACAACCCATGGAACTTTGAACCTTCAAGCAGTAGCTTACAGTCTCGGAGAGGTAGAGATGATTTGTCCAAAAGCATGGATTGTGAAGCCACTGGAGTGCTGAAGGTAAATATCCTGAGATGGTAATGAGAGCTTCTTTAAAACTGGCTCTCTGGTATGGCAGTGGGTAGGCATGACTTCCTTTGATTGCTATCCCTTTCTAGGACTGTTTTGTTGACCGTCCTTCAATTCTGTGAATTTTCCCATTTTACCTCCCACTTAATTGATTTTATTTTTAAATAAGCCAGAAGCTGTTTCCGTGGCCTTCAAATATTGAGGGTGGTGAGTAACTAATATATATAACTAGTGGTTTTTGTTAACTTTACTTTTTTTCTCATAATAATTTGATTTAATGGCAACATTCCAGCATGGAATTGTTTTTTTCTGAAATCCAAAACTCTAAGAGGACCTAAATGATAGTTATTCTAACCAAATGGACATTTTAATGATAGTTATTATCAAATCAACCTCTAATAATGTCTTAATTTGTCATGGTTTAACAGAAACAACATGACCCAACAGACAGAAAACACTGGGTGTGTGATGTCTCACAAACAAGTTATTCTTAAGTTATGATAGCTCTTAGTAATTTATATAAATCAAGACAGACAAACTGCCATTAAATGTTGTTTAAAAGCATCAAAGTATAATTGTGCTTGTTTGTATAGTTATATGTATCTACTTTCCAAATCTACATAAAAATGGAATTTTATGAAGCCAGGGAAAATGTCTCAAAAGTTATGTGGAAAATATTTAGGATAGATCAAGCCAATTCCCTTTTCTTTCATTATCATTTTAACTTTGAGTGTTGACTAACCAAAATCATGAAAATGTCCTATAATAAAATCTGCCCGATGTCCTCCTCTATGCATTTAATTCAAAAGTAAGTAAACTGAGGTTCATACATCTTGTGTAAGATATTCCACCTTCATGATTACTCACTTCTCTGGCTTCAGCTTAGTCTGTTTGCTTAGAGTCACAGTCTTTAGGAAACTCCTCATTTTCAGCGGATTCAGAAACCCATAGGTGAGTTTTGTGAACCAATCAGCACATTATATCCTACAGTGAAGGAACTTCCCAAGGAAGCTTGCCCCCCACAAAGCTGGAAGATGAGGGTCGTAGAAAATACCACAGCAAGTGAAAAGACTATGTCTTAAGTGACAGCAGCATGGGGAAAAGGTTAAGTACAAATGTTCAGCCATGTCTTTAATGGAGAGTCCCTCCAGGCCTTAGGAGATATCACATAGATACACTGAAATTTACATCGCTAAAAACTTTTTGATTAATTTTGTTGACAATTTTATACATGTTTATAGTATATTAGGAATTCTTTCTCCCACAACATCTTCTTTTCTCTCACTCTCATTCTTGTGAGTTCCCTTCCATCCCTAATAGCCCCTTTCCCAAATCCATTAGTCCTTGCTGCTATTTTGTGACCCATCTGTGAGAGCACTGGATTGAACCATCTATTGATGTATGGTGGGGTAACCAATGGGTACACAACTTCAGACAATGATCCCTTCTTCCCTTCATCTAGCAGTGGCAAATGTTGAGAAGTGACTCGAAAAGTTCAGTAGAAACCTTTAAGTACCTTCCTCATCTATGCCTGGCTGTTGATAGGCCTTTCTTTGTGTTATTGAACTTTTTCTCTGGGTCTTGGCGGTACAACTCTTTTTTTTTTTTTTTGAGACAGGGTTTCTCTGTATTGTTTTGGTGTTTACCCAAATGACTACCTTTTCCCCATAGTCCAACAAGGACACCTGTACATACTGCTGCTGCCACTGCTGCTGATGCCCAAGACCCAAATACTGACTTTATGACAAGAATGCCAGGATCAGGAGTCCCAGCACCATGTCCACATGTCCTCATCAGCCTTTGATGCAGATCACTGTTCCAACACTGTTGACCACTTCCATACCTATCGTCAATTTCTGCCCAGTTTCTTTGCACACATTATCTCATTCATACCCACGACCATACAATAGCTACCAACTAAGATCTTCCAACTAGATAATTACCTCTCTCTTTCTTTAAATAAGCAGCTGAACAACACTGACATGAATTGGAAACAAACTGTGTATACTTAAAACCTGTCTTTGTTATTTATTAGATGTGTTCCTTTGTCCTGTGTCCCAGCATATTTTCATATCTATGAGAGTTACCACAAGCAACTGAAAAAAGGTAACAATGAATTGTATGACTTTGTGCCTTGCATATTATAAAGTGTCAAGTAAGGGTTAGACAGTGATTTTGCTGTTATAGGCTGCATTAATTTAACTTAGATTTTGCTTGTGACTTTTTATTGAATATATACTAAAGATATAATTAGTGTGACAATGCCAACGTTGAATGGAAGACCATAGATTGAGAAATACAGTGAAATGCTGGGTTACTCTATTCATGTAACCCTATAGGGATTTTGCAAAGGTTAAAGGTCAAAAGAAAATGAAATTAGGTAACCATAGACCCACAAGGTAACCATATCTATGTCCTTAACAGAGATGTCAAGGGATCTGAAAGTATAGATTTTGAAATAATAGTAGTTATGTGAGAGGACAAGTTGGAGCACTGAACCTATCATCATGCTACTTATCAAGGGCTTCATAGGTCACACGTGCCCACTAGTTAGATTTATGGAATTGTTGGAAGAGATTCTTAAAAAAAATCCTTCCTAAGGTTAGAATCTCATGATGGGTTAAAACAATAATCCCTAGTCATCTCTTCCTGTTCCTGAAGTGTACGAATACAACATACCAAAAAGACACGTTATAGCACAACAGGAAACAAATGAAAGGCACAGATTTGAACATGCACCAGTAACACACACACACACACTCACATGCACACACATACACACACACGACTCTTCTGTTTTCTTGAATCATAGAATCTTCATTTATACTTATTGATATTAATGAGAACTTTACAGAAGGAAAAGAAAGGGAAATATGGTAATGAGAAAGAAAACATATAAGGAAGTGTTTTTTTAATGAGCAAGCTGGCAAAGTCATATGAACTCAACTCATATTTTTGGCTATAAACCTATTCTTTATTCATTAAAGATTATGGTCACACTTCTATAGTTTCCATGAGGCCTGGGAACATACTTCAGTGAAATGTATTAATATTCAATTCAATAAACCTACTTTGAGCACTTACTGCACAGAAATCACATGGCTGGATGTGTCGGAACCTATTAAACACAAAAAGTCCATTTATTTCTTTTTGCCTCATCCACTCTTGCTAACATAATCACCACGTATCTCTTGTGGTATATAGTGCTCATTCTATAGAAATCACTCAACAAATATGTGCTTGATGAATATATAGATGCGTCTATTAGAACACAACAGAGGAATACCATGTTATCAGTAAGCAGCTAGACCTCTTTCTTTACAAACAATTTGCACCAGTGGAAAACTGGCCAGGATTTCAAAGACCATTAGTATAAAATCATGCGTTTCCTCCAGGCCTGTGTCCAACCTTTTTACATTGCGACACAATGTTGTCACTTATAAAGTTCATGCTTCTGAATCTTACATTCTACTTCCAGAAAAGAAAGCAATGTTTTCAGTTTATGATTTTGTTCTGGGCTGCATTCATAGCTGTCCTGGGGCAATGACAGTCCCAGGAAGTTCTCATTTGTTTTTGATAGTTGTTTTATCATCACCTCAGTTCAGTTCCGGGACCTTCCTCTTTGTGTGTCCTATTAACACATCTACTGAAATATTTACCAGTTGGTTTTGACTTTGCCAAAATATTTCTGACCATACCTTTTGGACAAGGTCTGTTTTTCATAAAGGAGCCTCCAGCATGTACACAGTTGGTTTCAGGCTTGACTCAGCTCTGCCTTCCCACTCTACCTTGCTGGTTTAAATGGGGTGTTGCTATGGTCAGAGCCTTGCGCCTTTAGGATGATTTCTCTGAAGAAAATCAGGCCACTGGAAGAAAGTTATGAAAATATCTGATCATCCAAGTGAGAAGAAATGAATGTCTGAACTAAGTTAGTAATGGGGAGGCAGAAGGAGAAAGAAATGAGAAGGATATTAAAGAAAGCAAATGGCCTGGAAAAGCAACTGTGTGAGATTCAAATTCAGCCAGCTGGAGTGGCCTGGTGATCCATAAAGCACTGTGCTGTATCAAAGAAAATGGCCTTTATGGATCAGAACCACCACTGAGATGCCAGGGGGAGGATGAGGTGGAATCTAAATCCCCAATAACAAAGAGTGGACGGGATGGGACGCCAATGGGGAGATATGAATGGAAGCATGTTAGGAACTCCATAAACAACTGTGGGTTCTGTAATCTCCCTCATGCAAGACTGATGGTAAGACAAAAGGGCCATGCACCTGCTGCTCTTGTTTGCACAGCACCCACCCCCTTCCAAAACCATCCGTCTTTGCTTCAAGTATTTGAATAACTGAATCAGTAGTGGCTGTGCCCTTAGGCCTTACCCTAAGATGAGGGTGGCCTGAGTGGTTGATTTAAATCTGGAAAAAATCATGCAAAAAGTCCAATTAGAATCTTTTAAAGTATTGTGCGGATCTATCCTGAAGCATGATGGTGAAGCCTTTTTGTTGCTGTTGTTGTTCTTGTTGTTGTTGTTCTTGTTGTCGAGCTAGAATGAATGCACTAGATTCCCTCCCTCTTCCACTCCCTTCTATCTCACTCCCACACACTGAAGGTTTCCCAGGCTTCTTACAGTTGTCAGTTGTATGTAATAAAACTCCGTGCCAACTAGCTTAAGAGCTTAAGACAAAAAGAGAGAGGGAGAGTTTAATCTGGTTCCCAAGGTAGTCTTCCTCCCACTACACCCCAATAACTCTGTCACCCTTGTAGAGACTTCGGCAGAGTTGAGAAACGCAGACAAGTAACTCCCCTCTGAGAAGAGATATTTGTCCTGTCAATTACACAACTGTCGCCATTCCTCCATTTCTGCTTTGCCACCACTTTGCACATGCGTTGAGAGACGGGATCCAGGACAGTGTTGTTTTGCATCGCATACATGCCCGTTCCATAACGAGTACTGCTGATTTTGACCTATGCTTGTTTCTTGTTCTCTTCCTACCCTGAACCTTCCTATCAAGGTGAGAACACAGTTCTGTGATGGGACAGACATTAGAATGAACCAACAGCACCCTATAGAAGAGTTGAGAAATAGTCACAGTTTCTGCACCGACAAAACTGCTGTGCTAGATTCTAGGGTTTGAAGGATGAGCCACCATTCATATTTAGGTACTGAACTGTAGCATTAACCAAAACCTAGCCACGTATCTGAGGTGTCACAAACTTCTTCTGATATCAGGTTTATGTTAGGGTAACATCTCTCTCTCCAAACACCTTCTGTGAGGTAACTGTCTGGGAGTCACAAGGACAAATGTCATTGTCAATGGAGTGAGGGTTTTTTTTAAGACTATAGAAACACATATTTAGTAACTAGTTGAAGTGATTTAGATATATTTCCTTTTTGCCTGGAGATGGTGGCACACATCTAAAATCCCAGCAATTGGGAGATCAGGGCAGGAGGATCAGGAAGACATTCATGTCCAGCCAAGGACCCTACACAAAAAACAAACATGAGACCCTACACAAAAAAATACAAATGGTAGAAATGCTCGTTTTAAAAACAAAATTGTTGAATCACATTAGTTACACACATTAATACTTCTATTGTAGTATTTGCATCCATGCCTATCCCATGATTTTTTCATATCCCCTCTCCTTAATATTCTTTCTTACCCACCCCTCTATTCTCTTTCCCCTGCAAGACTCTTTCCCCCTCCTTAGCTAGAAAGAAATATTTAAGTAACATAAACTTTAGAATCTACATTTACTGGCGAACTCATGGTATAGACATATGCTAGGGGAAATCAGGAAACCACAAGAAAACTTTCTGAATGAACCCAGGGACTAGTTCAATAAACACAATTGCAGCGGAAAATCTGGGCTTGTCATAAAAATAATTACTCACATCTAAGCTTTTTCCAGTTGCAAAGATTTTACTCACAGGTTCTTGTCTGAGTTAATGAGAGCAGGCATTGTAATTTTCATCTCCTTTTGACAGCTGCTGAAATTAAGGTACAGGGTGGTTAAGCAAATTTCCAAAGGTCAGATGGCTAATAAATGGAGAAGGTCAGATACAAAAAAGACAGCATTCTGTCTGTCCAGGAAACAGCAAGAAGAAAGCTAGAATCTGAGGTCAGGGGTTGTAAGACATTGACCTTGAGACATTCAGTTATCAAATTATCTTAACATGGCTGCCCCTCTTAGGAAATGTGAATAGATACTCAGACTGCAGTACAGAGGTGGATTAGGTGTCCTCTTCTGTCTCTCACAGTGCATGTTATGCAGTTCAGTGCCTTATAGGCTTGAATGTATAATTCATAATTAACATGTAAATGTTTGAATATTCAGAACAAAAATCATACAAAATTATCAGTCATTAGTGATATGTTTATTTATACATACCATCACCAACCATACCCCACGACATTACTTTCACCAGAAGTCTACAAGGCAGCCATGTCTCTCCTTCCCTTTGCCCTGGACATTTGCTAGTCCCTGAACATTACTCAGGTTGCTTCCCGAAAGCATCTCTCAAATCTGCCTTCTGTGCATTGTAATGGCTGATACTGAAGTGTATATCACAGTTATAGCTCTAGAGAATCTGCCTCTGGTCTTCATACACTCCAACCTAGCCTCCCAGGGATCTTCCAGAGCAAATCTTTAAGAGATCTATATGGTCTTGGAACCAAACTATGCCACATACTTTAACCTCTTCAAATGTCTAAGGAGTCCACTCTTTCTTCTCAGTCCCAGAAATCTCCAGATTCTTGCCTACCTACTTCATTTCTCTAAAGACTCCTTGTTTTATTCCCTGCCCCTATAATAGCTTGTTCTCCGTAGAAAGTTTTCATCACTTTATTCTCTAGACACATACTTCTATCATTAAAACTCAAAACAGTATCACTAACTCTTCTAGAACACTATCACTGATTCTTACCCATAATTTAGGCTTCATGCCCCACCTTTGCGTATTTTTATGTGGGCAGAGACAGAATACTACAGGGGGTAGTATTTTACTGAGATTAAAAGTAAATTCTAAGGTTACCTCTCTTACAAATTTTTTTGTGCATTCTGACAGAGGTAAGTTAATGGATTCCCCTATACCTTATTCTTACATATGTAAAAGGGATATGCATTAGTTGTTTCTGGGGATGTAACAAACTAGTTAATTTAAAACAGCAAAAATATATACTGTCAAAATTCTGGAAGCCATAGTCTTATACTGATGTGATAGGAGGGTCCTAACACCTGTAAACGCTGTAGCAGCCCATGTGTCACATTGCTCCCAGCTTCCAGTGGCTCTGGGAATTCTTTCTCTGTGGCTGAATTACTCCACTCTCCATTGTGATTATAAAACAGCCTCCTCCTTGTGTCTTGTAAAATGATAATTTTCATCAGATATTGGGGCCACTGCAATAATCTGGGTAATTTACTCATCTCAGCATCTTTAACTTATTACATTTGCAAAGACTCTTTATCCAAGTAAACACATATTCCCAGGTTCTGAGGATTGGGAATCAATCTCTTTTCTGGAGGGTTAGCTCACACACTATAGGTCTCAATAGCCTGCTTAGCTTTTATGGGTTTTGCTAATCTTAAGTAGGATGATACATGTAAAACTTTCAGGAAAGTATCTGACTGACAATAAATATTCAATAAGTGACAACTGTTATTAGCATCACAGTGCTTAATGACAATATTACAGAGGTTTACACACATTTGGTACTTAAATCTTATTTTCCTATTATGAGACTTAGATTTCTCACATGGAAAATGTTCTACATACCTGACATATGTTGCTAACAGCAAGGGTTTAAATAGGTCATATGCTAATTAATCTTCATTCTAACAAGAAAATTCAATTAACCAGAATTCTCATCCCCCATAACACATGAGTCTAAGCAGTGCTTCCAGCTGAGGCTTTTTTCATAAAGAAGATTATGCACGCCAACAGCATAGAGTGCCTTTCTCTTTGTCAGTCCTCAAATAATGAATGATTTCATTTGAAACGAAGCTGAAGAGGTCAAGTGGGTGTGATTATAGACTCAGAAAGACCGGGAAAGCAGCCATCAAATAACTAACCACCCTGCAAGATTACAGATGTGAGGACTGGACCAAGGGTGACAAAGAAAATGACTTGCCCCAGGTCATTCCTTAAGGAAATGCGAAATTCATTCAGAGTCATTCCAGCCTTATTCTTATCAATGATCTGTTTCATCATGTTGACATTATTCAATGCAAAATCAATACTAATAGTATCATAATCTGTTCGTAAGAAGGGAGAAAGTCAAGAACCCATTCAATTGACAAAATCTTATTCCAATGACTTTTCGATATTCTCTTCCAACAGATCCATGTACTGATACAGATACCAGCATATCATGAATGTTTTACTTACATTTTCACCAAGAAAGAGGACAGGATTATATCTACCATTTTATTTTGACATCCTGCTTCCCTTGACCACTCTTTCTCCCTGTTCACACCCCTTCTGCTCTAATAAAATGAAAAATTCTCTTACTCCGCAGTTATTCCTTAATTCTTCCAGTCTAAACTTCCTTTCACACTGATGTTCTTTGTTTCTTGGACAGCTTCCCTATTTCTACATCTCCAAATCCTGTCTTCCTTGTAGACTCAATTCAATCCATGTTATTTGTGCCATTTCCTGCCTCTGAAATCCAATTTCATATTCTCTATGCCTCTCTTGTGACATCAACCACTTCCTGGATTGTGTCTATTTATACTCAGATTATTTCATCCCCCCTTAGTTTATTAGAATGCCAAGGACATTTGTAAAAATAAGAGTCAAACAAATGGTACTTGCTAGAAGGTTTGTTACCAACTGGAGACTTCTCTGTGTCAGCAGGGCTTTCTGGGGAAGTTAAACACTTCACACTGACCAGCCCATCACCACCAACCTGTAACTAAATTCTGTCTTCTGTCAGTTGAGAGTGGAATCTGCAAAGAAAGTCAGTGGTCATGAACAGAAATGAAGATAAAATTTACTAACAGAGTGAAAAGCAAATAGGTAGGCACAAAACATACGAGGTAGCGATAGCAGAAGTGGATGTGTAGGGATAGTACTGGAAATAAGTAGCAGCAGGTTCAAAATAAAGAGAGGCAGTAGTAGGGATATAAGGATGCTGTCTTGGCATGTCTCAGCAAAGCACCCCTATCCCCATCCCCACCCTCCATTCCCTCTCCCCATTGTAAATGTTCTTGGGACTTAGCTGCTCCAGATAATCATTCTAACTCCTGTTCACCTGAGTCCAACTCCCCAGCAATTCCCATTTTCTTTACATTCCTGGAAAGGAAATGCTCAGCCAGAGGCCTTGGAGCCTGGAGAACACAGCAATGCTCAGGAAGCAACTTTCCTATAAGCTGCCTGAACTCCTGCTTCCTAATGAATGTTAATCATCATAATTACCTTTGCAGGCAAGTAGCTCTCCACCCTTTTTAGAATTAACTAGCCGAGAGGAGGAGTCTGAGACTCAGAGAAGCTAGGAGACTTACTGTCATGATAAAGAAATTTGGTCAGTAAAAAGAGGCAGAACACCCAGGCCCTCTGGCATCAGAGTCTGGGGCTCAGCCCACTCTTCACCTGTGAGCTCTCAAGTTCATATAGCATGGAGATGCAATGGCACTTGCTTGCAGATAACCACATTCCATAAAAAACAGGAAAGTTGGTCAAAGAGCAGATGAAGCAAAGAGCCTTAGAGATAGGAAAATGAACAACAGCAGAATGAGGCAGGGTGTAACAGTAATGTCTTACATCTTGTAGCTAGTAGTTTTAAGCACAGGAACAGTTACTCCCCAATGTATGAAGGGCTTATGCTCTTATAAAGCCATCTTAAGTTGAAAATATCATCAAAAATATATTTAAAGGGTTAGAGATATAGATGAATGAGGAGCAGTTGCCAGAAAATGCATGAAATAGTTTTCACCTTCCAAACATCACAGCACAGCCTAGTCTACTTTAATCACAATCTGAACACATAAACAGATCTATGCAGCAGTCATCCAACACAAAGCCTACCTTATAGCTCATAAAAGTATTCAACTTTATATTGAAAGCAGAGAAGAGAATAGTTGGTCTACAGTGCTCGCCTGGGAATAATCAAAATGTGTGATTCCCTGTACAGTTACTATTGGATGTGTACCAGTGTTTCACCACAATAAAACTAAGATATCATAACATGGGGGCCATCTGTACATATACTATTGAGACTAGGGAAGTAAGGTTTAGTTAGTCACCCCAGTTAATCCTCAGTCTAACAAGAAAATTCAATAAACCAGAATTCCCTTCCCCGATAACCCAACCTGACTTCCTTTTGACCAACCACCAGCAGTCAAACCATACAAAGTTGGGGACCACCTATGCTTGTAACATCACACCAATGGCATTCAGGCTATATTATGAGAATCAAGCATACCGGTTAAAATTTGAGCTTAGCTGTTCATTGGTCATATACCCTTGGGCAAGCCACTCACATCCCCCCAACAAGATTATCTATAAAGAAATATTAGGTGCGTTGTCTGTTTTGTAAGAATTTAGTAAAGCCAATATATATATATATATATATATATATATATATATATATCATGTAACAAAAGCTTGCCACAAAATGATAAATTGATATGTAGCATTTGTTGTGTAGTTGCTATTATTTTTCAATAAAAAATATCAAAACAGTAACATCATTTTAACTTATCAAATAATGTCAAAAATAGAATAAAAATCCTTATAGTCAATGAAATGACCATTTCGTATAAATTGAGGATACTTTATATAAGTGCACAGCTTGCTCTACCAAGAAAAAAGACTCACTGGAAACATAAGAGACTCAAAATTAAGTGTTTTTAAATAAAACATAAAGCAAAAACAGCTGCTGTTGGAACTTGGTCCCTGGGCATATTTGATTTTTGAAAATAACAAAGAAGCCAAATTGTCCTTCAATTCCCAGGCTGCATGAGGGACATGATTGCCTAGCTGACAGCCTACTTGAAAGACGGATGCAGATGCGTAGAAACAAAGGATACTGTATGCTGGACACACAGCTTTCAGGATCCCTCAGCCAACAGGGAATTCTGCAGCCACATCACAGACAATATTGCTGACTTTCTTTTCCATTTCCAAATAAAAAATACATGCTATACACACACAAAAAGCAAATTGTTTTAGGATGATAAAGGACAACACTCCTTGCAACAAACAGAAAATTCACATAGTGCCAAAACCTCAGTATATTGCATTACCACTTCCTACAAACCAACTCTGCTTTCACTTGTGGAGGAGCCTTATGGCAGGGAGATCTGGAAATGAAACCCAGGATCTCTTGTCTACAGAACTTTATAAACATGAGTCAAATATAATCTTTTTCAATGTAATTTAAAGTTAGCAAAATAAAGCAATGAACACTGAAAACAGAGCCAGGAAGAATTAAATCAATCACTACAAAACACACACTACCCAGGCACAGTGGCTACCTTTCACATACATGTTATTTGATCATTTTTGTTCCTCTCATGTATATGCTTGCAAAGGTGAAGTGTGACTACCTGTAGAATTTTGCAATGCAAATTTTCAGGAGCTGGCTTATTATTTGAGGTTAGTCAAAAACGGGAAGTAGTTTGGAGTCTTTCCAGCATACAACCCACCTGCCTGAGAACCTGGAGCTTTCACCAGAAAAGAAGTAGTCTCAGTTCTTTGAGGAAGTGGTGATGGTTTGGGTGTCCCTGCTTATGGTGGTGGAAATACTACAAGATGAGAGATATCTCTAGCTTAACTTTCGGGCCTTCCTATGCTATAATCTCTCCATTCTCTGCAACATGCTGGACCAGTTCTCTCAAGTTTTGTGACACAAATGCCCTATGACTGGTTATCACAATATCTGACATTCCTTCTGCCCAAAACATTCTTTCCCACATCTCAGCATTTGCTGGCCTCTCTTAAGCACTCAGAACTCAGGTTACACACCCCTCTACTATGAAGTGTGTCCTAATACTGACTCGGCTCTCAGTGCAGTCTTGAGAGGTTATGCTGACCACTGCAGGTGACCCGTCATGACACTTGCTTCACTGTTTTTATTTCAGTTTGCATGCTAATCTCAATCTCTTTTCCAATGGGAAGATGGGAAATCATATTAAAAAAAAAGGCAAGAGCAACAAATCTGGTTTGTGCCACTACTTACTGATGCTAGTGAACATAGTGGCATCTAGACAGGCCCAAGAGCAGGGTGAGGAACTAGAACTTGAGGACTGCAGGTGTACCTGTCAGAATGCCTGTATCCCAGAATTGTGTATGAGCTTCCAGGAAAAATAAAGTCATGATTAGGTTGTACATAAAATTAGCCAACATGGGCTCCCCTCTAATATCTTGTAGAAATTTCTTAGAGCAGATTAAATGCAAAGTGAGTCACTTTAAATCATCAGCTTCTTTGCCCCCCTCTCCAGATTCTGCGATGGGAATATGCGTTCTTGGTAAGATAATTGCCAGTGCATAAAGTGGTAATGGGGTGCAAGCCAGCCACTAATGCCTTTCTGCCTTATCCTTGCAGGTACGAATAAGGTACCTGATTAGTGCAATCCTGCAGCCAGCCATGAGCTAGCTGCTCATGAACGAAGTATCTCCTTAGGAGGCCAAGACTAACCACATATAAAGAAAACTGGCTGCCTCATCTTTGGATGGGCTCTTGTCCTAGCATGCCACTCCTGGCTGGATTGGCCCATTCCATTGCCAGGTTGCTGTAAATCTCTTTCCAGCCCCAAGCCACGTGCTTAACTGTATCTCTGTGTCATGGGAAAGAGTTCACACACTACTTCCCTATGTGGGCCAAGGGGAAGCTCCCAGCATTGGTTGTGGAAAGGCCATCTGGTACGGGTCCATCTCAGAACTTGGCACTGATGGATAAGCTAGAGACATTGCTGTTTGACTCACCGAGTCACTCATGTCTAAGCATGGAAGAAACAACAAGTTTCCTTTTTATCTCTTGTCTTCTCCAAAGGTCAAGCATTCTTCATCTTTGGGGTTTAGGTACAGGACAGAGCAGCCTGTTGTAGTTTTTGTTCCTTTATTTGAGAAGCAGAAATTCTAGTATTATAAGAATACCATAATATTCTGCAGGCTAAGAGAGAGCTGGGCATGAGAGAGTGCACTGAACTTACCATCACTTTTCCAGCACCATCTCTGGTTGTAACACTGATTCTTACATGTGGTTTTGCTACACAATACGGCAACCCCTTTGACACAATCATTATTTCAGATCAGTTAGCAGACAGGGACACTGGGAGTAATTTTGACACCTTCTTGACTTTGTAATGGGTGGGAGAGGGATTCACTTTATTCTCAAACGCATACATTTGCTAGTATACACAGACCTTTGGTCTCATGCCTGTAACATAATAGGAGAAACAGGTGTCTGGGAATACAAAAACACCAGTCTGGATGAGAAGACAAGAGAGATCTATATGATTGCTCAGGGCACAGTTTGAATACAGACAAGACCACAGAAGGGGCAGAGGAAGGAAGTTGTAGAGAAGCCTGGGGTAGATATGTAAAGCATCTGCAGAGAGAAATAGATTATAAACCAACCGGGCAGTCGGGAGAAAGAAAAGGCTCATATACATGAGAAGTCAAGTACCCAAAGGTCTATAGCACTCCAAGTAGACAGAATGGCAGGTGGTCAGAGACAGAGTGGATCAGATGAGGTTTGACAGCAGAGGTAACTAGTTCCCTACTACTGCTGCAGTGTCTAGGGAGTCAGCTTCTCCTTCCTGGTGCTGACTTTCAATCTATCTGGCTGCTTTTGACCTTTACCCCTTTAGTTTAGTCTCCTCTTAGTAGTCAGAGAACCAGTAACAGCATGAGTCAGCTCGCACCGCCCCTCTGTTCAAAATCCTGCTACGGCTCTGACTTCACTCAGAGGGAAGCCAAAGTCCCACTAGATTCTCGCAGTGTCCTCTCTGGGCCTCGGTGACCTACCTTGGCACATGTGCTTACTGTTCCAGTCATACCAATTACCTGGGCCATCCACTCATATTCATCAGGTGCATGTCTGCTATGGAACCCCTTCCCTGGATGCCCCTCTACCTACAGTGTTCGTTTTCCAAAAATCCCATTTCTCTACTGTCTCTTTTAAACCTATGC